CCCCTCGCCCCCCCACCTCCCCTCGCTCCTTCCCCCAAGACAAAAAGCATATGGTCCTTTACAACTTTATTCATTTTTACCCACTAAATTGAAATATTCATGTAGTTTACCAAACCAAGAAATTATTAAAACTTATAATGTATAAAAAATCAAGAAAATACAGAAATGTATAAATGCCTGAAATAATATAACAACCGTACAAAATATATGTGCGTGGGTAAAAGGTAAAAGGTAAGTTATTTTATTTTACTTTGATAACAAGAGGAGTGGTTGCCCAATTTACTCGAGCCAGGGCCTCATGTATAAAATGATGCAAGGTGCGCCCTATAAGTGCTCCTTATTACGTGTATTTAAAGCTAAAGCTAAAGCTAAACGGATTACTGCGAAAAAGAAAGAAAGAAAGAAAGAAAAAGGAGAGAAAGAAGGGAGGAAAGAACGAAAGAACGAAAGAACGAACGATTACGAAGGATAGGATGAATAAAAGAAGGAACAAATAGGGAAAGAAATAAACAAAGAAAAAGAAGCGAAAAGGAAAGAAAGGAAAAGTGAAGAAAAATGGATTTTGGAAGTGTACGCCGACAGGTTCGTGCAAAAAAAAGAATATAAAAACACTTACCTTTAACAAGCGATGCGCCGAACAAACAGAAGATCAGTAGAACCCTGAAGCCCATCTCGTCAGTGACCAACTGACTTTCACCTGTGTAGTTCGTTACTTTATCTTAAACCAGGATGTTCAATACTTAATGAACCTTTGGAGTGTAACTGTGCAGAGATTCATTGTCATTCTTCGCGCAGAAACGAATAAAACAATGCACGTGTGATCAAAGAAAAATATTTTACGAAAGAATAATTGTTGATAGATAAACAAGTTACTTGCGATCTTCTTCTAATCTCTTATTAGCAGAGCCTCCATACAATCTTACATCGTGTTGTTCACGTGCTTTTTCAGTCTACGCCCCCTATGACTTTTCTTTGTTATATCTATTCTTTAGATTTATGCATTTATTTATAGTCTCTTCTCTCTTATCCTTTCTAGAAGACTATAGTTTTATTTTGTCTGTTTTTGTTTCATTATATTGTAATTGTAGAGTGGTAATGAGATACGTGRCATTAATTGATTGAATGATTGATACCAAGCAATAGAATACTCTCTTATCGATAGCACATGAGGGGCAGTCTTTGCCTGTAGACCGGTAATGAGATTCATGGGTTCATTCAACTGATTGATACCAAGCAATATAACACCCTCTGGTTGATAGCACATGACGGGCAGTCTTTGGAGATAGATATATAGATTGTAGGTTGATAATGAGATTCATTCAGCTAATCAATCGATAGCAATATTTTTTTACTTTCTGCGTCCACCTCCCCTCCCCCCTCGTTATTGCCTTACCGTATTTACACACATATAACTCCACCCTCATAGTGATATGTCTTTGGTCGTATCCTCATGTACCTCGCAATTATAGCAGGATTAACATCGTTTTTAACGACAGTGTCCGGCTCGCTGTTTCCTGAGAAGATCTTGCCATTTTCATAGTCTTCATAATGGCTGTTATCTACACTATAATGCAGGCCGTACCTTGTCACCACCCAGGATAAACACATCATCATCATCATCATCATMATCATCACCAACAGCCAACCAGATCCTGAAGAAGTGGAAAAACATTCCCGATATTGTCTACGGCGTAAACAAGAGCATACGCCAACAACTACTACCAACAAAGACATACCAACAAAGCAAAGCACAGATGACCATCACAGACACCAAATGCAGAATGTGCCATATGGCTACAGAATCAACAACACATGTACTGAGTGGCTGCTCAAAGATCGCCCAAAGCCTTTACACAGCCAGACACGACAGAATGCTGAGACGAGACCGATATACCACTGTTTACTGGAAAAGTACAACTTTCAAGAAAGCGATAATGAAAATCAAAGCCATGGTACCAACAAAGTCTACCATCAGCAGTACTTCAAAACGAAAAGACAAAAATTTACTGGAGTGTACCCTTTCGACTTGAGAAAGCTCCAGAAAACGGTGACATTTGTTTGTCTTGGAGTTGTTGGTTGGTGTAGACTCCAAGCCATGTCTGCTGTTTTGTTTCTTTTATATACTTTTCCGTGATCTTTGATCGCAGCAGCTCTTTTATTGATTTTGGTGAAGGTGAGGCTATCGTTTTGGTCTGGTTGGCAGGTTTAGGGTCTTTACTTGTATGTATTTTAGTGCCTGTGTCATCAAAGTCACACGTGATGTTATATTCTGCTGCGTACTTGGTGAGGTTATCGTTTTGGTCTGGTTGGCAGGTGTAGGGTCTTTACCTGTAGGTATTTTAGTGCCTGTATCATCAAAGTCACACGTGATGTTATATTCTAATGCGTACTTGGTGAGGTTATCGTTTTGGTCTGGTTGGCAGGTGTAGGGTCTTTACTTGTATGTATTTTAGTGCCTGTATCATCRAAGTCACACGTGATGTTATATTCTAATGCGTTCTTGGTGAGGTTATCGTTTTGATCTCGTTGGCAAGTGTAGGGTCTTTACCTGTAGGTATTTTAGTGCCTGTATCATCAACGTCACGTGATAAAATAAAGCAATTTTGGTTTCAATAAGTGTCTACCGAAAACATCCATGAAAATGTTTCAAAATCATGACTTTTCAAACCCATATTTAATGTTAATTTTAAAACTGAAAAGAAAATAGGGTGTCCAGAAGTCGTTTTCGAGATATTCATGATTGAACACATGTGTATTAACAACCTTTTGAGGAAAAATAATAAGTAATAAAAAAAACTTTCTACAAAAAAAAAACAAAAAAAAATTCAAAAAGTCACCAGTAATCAAGTTTTTATTTGGCTTTATTTTGTTTTCAGGAATCCTTAATTATACATCTTTTTACAAATATCAGTAAACAAATGTTGCAAAAATGTAGTGAATTTTTTTTACTTGTCTTGTGCTTGACAGACATTATAATGTGCAATATACACTTACATATATATTAATTATTCTTCGCTCTCTTTTGCATTTTAGAGTAGCTCACATGGTGCTAGTATTTCCGTAAGCAGAACAAAATAATTAAATAAAATAAGAAAGAAGAAGAAGATGCTAGCTAATAAGAAATAAATAATTTGAAAGCATTTATTATATATAGTTAAGATAGTACGTGCGCGTTGATTGGTTTAAAAATGTGCTTTAWTAGTTAACGAAGCACAGTGTTGACACCATCTTTGAAGCCAGATCCTGCGCCGGTATATATATATATATATTTTTTTTTTTTCGTGAATAAAATTCAATACCGAAATAAAGTTAGTGACTATATAATAAAACGAATAAAACAGCTTTTCCGTGCACTGTTCAGTGATAAAGCACTTAGGAAGCGCCGTAAGCACGTCACTTCCTGAGTGCTTTATTACTGAACGGAGCACGGATAAAGCTGGGGTTTTTTTTCTTAAATAAATTACATAGGCATATAAATTGTATCGACCATTGAGTTCCGAGGAAATTTTCAACGTGCTGAGTGATTATAAGTGTCTGTTGGATACAAATGTGCTTCTTGTCTTTAATAATTGAACAGGCAACGATTGGGGATGTCATTATCTGTGGAGATGAAGGATAGCAA